AAAAATTGGGGTTCTTTGATAAAAAAATTCTTCAACAAGAGACTGAATTTTGCCTAAAATTTCATGTTGTTTAAAACAGTTCTGAGATATTTTTATTAAAAGTTTTACAGAGTTGTAAATTCAAACTACAAAATAGGGTAAGTTAGGGTCATTTTGAAAAATCTGCTGTAAAATTCTGATCTTTATTTCAAAATCCATCTCTCCCGGATTTACCCTAGAACAAGTCTTATACTCATTAACAGTCACTTCTTGTTCGTCTCTCCTTGCATATGTTATTAAAGCAAATTAATTTTTAAACAAAGCGGAGTTGCTTTCAAGACTTCAAGGATAAATAAAGCTTGTCTTTAAATAAAACACGCGATGCTTGCACTTGGTCATTGCAATTAATTCCAATTTTAATTAAACGTGTGAAGCACCTATTGACCCCATTCGTTGCAAAATTTAATTAAATTATTCGGTAATTTATTGCGTTAACTAATCGTTTATCACTGAATGCACCGGTCAGTGATTAAACAGAAAAAATCAAAAACAAGTCAAGAGAATGAAAAGTTCGAGATATTTTCAGTTTTCCCATTTTTCATGTTTAGGTTTATTTAGATTTTCAGCATTTATTCTCTCTCTAATTTCAGAATGTTTATTCCTGAAACTATCCTGAAGTTCACTTTTCTTCTCTCAAATTCAATCAGATTTTTCAGTTTTTTGATTTCAGGTGACTAATTACAAAAACGTTAAAATCGTTGTACACAAACGACTAGTTTTTATAACAAAACTTCTTTCATGAAAAAAACTGAAAGTGGTTTTAGATCAAATATTTGGGTTTTGATATGAAATTTTTTATTCAGCTTTCGTGAGCTTTGCAATTTTTCGGTATAAAATATCCTATTTTCGATTCTGAAATTATTTGTATTTTCACTAGAGCAAACTATTTTTTAGTAACTTTTAGGTTTTTTCTTTAGATTAAACCCAATTTTAGAAGTTTTTAAGTTTTCCCGTCTTTTTTTAGATTGCTGTTTTTTGCTTTCAGATATCTTTCAGTATGGAAAAAATTAAAAATAAGTCCTATTTTCCATTGTTTTTAAATTGGAATATATTTTAATTTTCGATTCTGAAAATATTTGTATTTTTCAATAAAGCAAACTATTTTTTAGTTACTTTTAGATTTTCTCTTTAGATTAAACCCAATTTTACAAGTTTTTATGTTTTTTTCGTGTTTTTT